ATATGCTTCATAGAAAAAACAAATACATAATTACAACCGGCTCACTAACTGAATAAGAGAGACCTACCACTATAAGTAGTCTAGAACACCACACACAACAAATCCACAAAAAACTAAAGAAAAACCTCACTAATGAAGAATACATACTCCTCACGAGAGAATTCACACTCCTAAAGTAGAGAAAAAACACTAACGCACACAAACAATACAAACAAAAAGACAAACACTAACACCACAACCAACACAAACAAACTAAATCTAAAACAAATCAAACAATTATAAAATATTAAACCATGTCATAATATTAAGCCAGGTCATAGTATAAATTTTATTAAACAATCCATGAACAAAGGAGTCAAATATATCTTGTATCAGTAAATTTAAATCCAATGAATTATAAGTAGCATACATTTTTTTCATTAGCACCTACTTGTATTTCCACTACTTAATGTTAGCTTTAGGTGATTTAAATATTAGTCATAGTATATTTGCATTAAGAATGTATAATTGACTCATGCTTTCAGCTCAAATACCGACTCTAACTCAATTACACAATTAAAATTAGTCTTACACTGCAAAATAAATGAATTGCACAACCGNTAAATTCATAAATCATAACCCCCATATCCTATGGCCATAACCTAGCTTAGCCTATCCATTATCCATAACCACCAAAGCCTTCAAAATTTCACAACCTCAAACGCCACCGTTTCACGTAAACCGGCTGTGGCCCATACTACCCCAAAAAAACGACCCAACAACTTACAAACTCCATTAAACCGGGCCTAAACCAGCTCCATCTCCTTCTTATTCCGGCGCATCTCAATCACTTTCCGATGGCTATTTGAATGCAACTCGTGCGAAAAAGTCGGGCTGAAAGCGGGCCTGTACTCGGGGAAAAGTCGGCCCGATTTGTACCGCACGCCGCACGCATTGCACAAAGTTTTCGGGCCCAAGGGCCCGGCCCGCCATTGTGGGGTCTTCTGCACCTCGCAATGCGTGCACCTCCGGCCAGAAACGCAATCGGGCTCGGCCCTCCTTTTTTGCTTTTTGGCCCGCGACTTTTCTGGGCGTGAAAACTTTTCGGTGTTGAAGTTCGGGAGAACTAAAGCAGATAAATTGGACTGGTCGTGTGAGGAAGATGAAAAGTCAACGGTGGTCAACGGAAGAGAAGATAGGGCCCAAGGCCGGAGGCTCGGTTTTCTCGAGCGCGAGCTTCGGGCTTTGCCGTGGATCGGTAAAGGGAAGCGTGGGGCCCGGTTTTGTTGGGCAGGTTGGGCCCGTTTGGTGGGATTTGGACCCGGTTTGAAATTTCTGGCCGGGCACAACAGAGAGAGCCCGGATGTAGAGTCGTCCACGAATTGGGATAACCACTCCAAATCATCCACCTGTAAGAAATACAAAAAAAATAATCAAATATATTAATGTATATAAAAACTAGTACGTAACCCTTGCGATGCACGGAATGTAACATTTGAAAGAATAATATAATTTCACGTGCATTAGGATCGAAATTGAAATCATTAAAATACATAGGAACATTGTTGAATCATAAAAAGTTCGGTAACAATCATATATTATTAAAAACCTCCTTGTACACAATATTATGAGTTTGATTATTTGATAACTCCTCATTATCACAAACTAATATTTTCAAAAGAGACAAATCCTAAAAATCAAACTAATATTTTTGGTGAACAAACTAATATTTTAGGATTGGTGAACAAACTAATATTTTAAGATTTTTAGGATTTGTAAGATTTTTAGGATTTGTCTCTTTTTGGTGAACAAACTAATATTTTAGGATTGGTTATATGAATAAGGCTACCTGTTTTTTGGTGTTTTTTTCATTCATTTTCATTCAAACAATCCGATGACTTGTATAATGAAATCCGAATCTTAAGCCGAAATATTTAAAAAAAGAGTTTTAAAAATTGAAAAGTCAAGGCAATCAGTTCAGATTAATTAAAGGTCAAAGAATATCCGCTCCTTTAAATAAAGACGTGTGCTATCATTAACCAAATATCCGGTTATTAATATAGAGTGGTTACCAAAAAATAGAACGCGATAAGGACGCTTCATGGAAATATCAATAGGATAAAGTCATAACAGATCGCTATACATTTTAACGATTAAAGCTCAGATAGAATGATTTATGATAATTGAGTCGTAATTAATGAATTAATTAGATGTGTGAAAATGACATAATTAATGAGAAGTGTGAAAATGACATAATTAATGACAAGTGTGAAAAGGATATAATTAATGACAAGTGTGAAAAAGACATAATTAATGAGAAATGTGAAAAGGACAAAAACTTACTCCCTCCATTTTGAAATATAAGGCATTTAAGGTTATTGCACAAATATTAAGGAGACATTAATTAATGAATAAATTGACTAAATTAACCTTATTTACTCTAATCACAACCACTCCACACTTCATTAATTTCAACACAATAAGGGTATATTTGGAAAAAAAATGCAAAAAATTTTCTTGATTTTTGAGCGCGCCTTATATTTAAAAAAAAATGAGAATCTTTATACGCCTTATATTTCAAAATGGAGGGAGTACCAGTTTTCGAAAATATTTAATGCAAATCCGACATTGACCATAATTTGACCTACTATTTTGGATAAATGTTAATTCTTATTATATAAGTATAGATATAAAGTCGAAGCATTAGGTTTACTAATTAAGGGGAAAATAATAACTAGCTGGTGAAATTCAGAATTTTTGAGAAAATATTATATTCGAGTTATCATTACATTTTCAATTTTATTTATCATCCTGAGTCATTTTTTACCTCCCATAACCTTTTTGCCTCCCCCAACCTCTTTCTCCTAAAAATTTAATGACCAGACAAAATATAAAAGAGAAAAATTAGAAAAAAATATATATATATATATATATATATAATCAAATCAACAGGTACACGTACTAAAATAAGGGATTAATAACTAGCTGGTGAAATTCACAATTTATGAGTATTATATTCGAATTATAGTTACATCTTCGAACATTTTCAGCTCCTCTGTCCTTTTTCACCTAAAAAAGTTTTAGGTAAAAAAATGAAACCTAAAAGAAACAAGTAGAAAAAATGGAAAGTAAATTACCGGCAAAGCAAGTCCAGACAGGCTGTCAATTTCGTCGGCGCCGGTGAAATTAGAAGACGAGTTATTAGACAATTCTTTTTCACGAAATTGATGATCTTCCCTAGAAAGACTAATATAACCCTCCTGAAACTCTTTTTCGGGGAGGTCCAGGTTAAGGAGGTCCTCGACCGAGAAATCATCCGCTGCGACGCTGCTAATCTTAGTCAGGCACCAAACGTCGTCGTTTTGGAACATCTGAGGATTTGTTTTCAACAGGAAGCTTGATTTCAACGCTCTTGTCTCGATGCACTCCATAACTCAAAATTTTCAACAGAAACTCCTCTGAAAAAAAAAAGCTGAACAACGAAACAAAATAAAATTTGAAACCGATTTACTAAACTATATATCAAATTTACATAAGTTTAACCAATTGTTTTATATNTGGAAAATTAACGCTGAGCCGTATTTTATTTTTATTTTTTATTTTTTTTATAATTTTTTGTAATGAATGAAACAATTTTATTTTCTTTTTCATTCTTTATTTTATTTTTATTATTATTATTGCATGGGTGGACCAAGTTGGATTGTTCGTGGTTGGGACCGAATCTACGGTTTCGACAAGGATTTTTTATTGACTATTTTTATAGGGAAAAGTCAAAAACCGTAATTGGTTATTTTACATAAATTGAAAAAAATATGATTAATTTAGATTTTTGATTGACGGTTGGATTTAAGTCTTAACGTTGCCTATAGAATTGGATAGTCAATGTTTTTGTATGAGTTAATCTATTGTGCCAGGATAATTTATTTAACTGACTTACCGGATATGTATTATCAAATCTGAAGTCAATTTTAATTATATGAGAAGGAGCATTGTGTATATCAGTAATTCAATTTATAAATATTCCAGCGTACCTCAAATTCTATCACCAAATAAAGTCACAAGATCTTCGAATCACAATTTATTCCGTTCCAGTAGATAAATGCATATTTCTAGTAAAAATGCCTCCCTCAATTGTGTGTTATATTTATTTATTTTATATTGTATCAATCAACTATAAGAACATCTCCAATGCTCCACTTTGAACATTAATTAAATTTAAACACATGTCAAATGATGAATGGAATGTAAATCAAAAGAGAAGACTTTAATTTGGAATGCACATCTCCAATGCATCCCTTTCAAAAGCTTAAAATAGGTTAGATTTTTGATGAGTTGACTTTCAAACACTCTTTTGGAAATTAGAAAGTGAGCTTCACACTTTGGATATTTATTGTCTCCATGTCAGCATAAAAGAGTCCATAACATTATGGATTGGAGATTAATTTTTGTAATCACTTTATAACTTGATGATGTGGCTAACATTTTATTAAGTCAACCTCTCACATTGGAGATGCTCTAATGTGATAACTAAGAGCATCTTCAATGCTTTGGGTTCAATCCCAAAAAATTACATGCCACATAAGAAATAAACCCAGTCCAAAAAAATATATTCTCCAATGCAAATAAAAGTAGACTGAGTTCTGCTGATGTGGCAGCCAGAAAAAGAGACCCGGTCTCCCCTTAAGTCCATTTTAGACCCAAGTAGAGACCTAGTCTCTTTGCATTGGAGTGAATTTTATTAATTTTACATAATTTTATCCACGTCATCTAAGACTTGGGTTTATTTACTTGCCACATAGGCAAGACTAGACCCAATGCATTGAAGATGCTCTAATAATTTGAAAATAGGAACATACACGGAACTCCGTAGTGATTATTTTTTAGTAATTAATTGATATTATAAAATATCAATATGATATTTTGTATCTCCTCTATATATAATTTCAGAATGTGCTCAGCCTACCGGGTAAACTCTCATCCTTCATAATTCTATTTGGCAAAAAATCATCCTTTGGAGTTAAGCTTGAATATATATTAATATTTGTATTAATTGTATTTTAATATCATTTCCTTTTATAACCATTGAATTGCAAATATATTTTAAAAGTTGATAACTTTTGTATTTCTTATCGATTTTACATATATAATATATCAAATTAATCATCTTTTGACGAGTTTTGATTTGACATCCATATTGTATATATAAAATAAATAAATTATATTTATTTTTATAATAATAATAAAATTATTTATTAAAATTAATTAAAAAAATTATTTATCAATTAATATATTTATGTTTAATGTAGTTATATGTTATAAGGTAGAAAATTTATTATAATATAAGTCGCACAATTAACATGTGTCATACTAGAATATATAATAATATATACCCCCTCTTAATTTTATTATTTGTCACTTTGGCTTAATTGATCATTGATAAAATAATGTCGTTTTAGATATTTTGTTCATATTTTTCCATTTTTAACCCTCCATCTAATACACAGTGTCTCTTCATATCCCATCTCCATCGTTTCCCATAACATCTATTAAATAGGATTAATATTGTCAAGAAAAAAAAAATCTTAATTAGTGTGTTGCATTTGAATTGATATTATGAAGTCAGTTTGTATTTTACTATTTATATATATATATAAATATAGTAATATATATCCTTATAAATAAAATTTAAATTTATTTATCAACATAAATTAAATTATATCAAATAAAACTATAAATTATACTATAAAGTAATAGAAATTGGTATGTATTCTTTTAAAAATGATATTTATTTTAATTGTAATTGGTGTGTTGTCAATGTAATAAAAATAAATAATTATTTATTTAAATTCTAAAATTACATTTAAAGTTAAAAAATTGTGAAGCACGACTGATACGATACTTAATATATTAGTCATCCAATTAAGTAAAAAAAATAATATTGCTTAATATTATAAATAAACATGTTCTACACTTATGCATATACATATCACCATATTATTTCTATTTATTTAAGATATATATTTTTGTACTTATGTAATAGTAAATAATATCGATATTGTTATATGATATAAGTAAAATAATTCAACACGGGTTGACATTTTTATTTAATATACGGATGTTTAATTATTATGGTTAAAAAAATATAATTTGACAATTTAATTAAAACTCAAAGTAATGTTTTATATAAAATTAAATTATTTTTATTTTTAAAAAAACAATAAATATAATATTTTTTACAAAAGCTTTGTAATTCGACACCCGTGTAATACATGGGTATTGTACTATCCCCTCTCATATATAATTTCAGAATGCGTTGAGCCTACGTGGCAAACTCTTATGCTTCGAAATCTTATTTGACAAAAAATCATGCTTTGGAGTTAGGCTTGGATATAAATTAATATTTATATTAATTGTATTTTAATATTGTTTCTTATTATGACCATTGAATTGAAAATATATTTTAAAAGTTGATAACTTTTGTATTTTTTATCGCTTTTACATATATAATATATCAAATTAATCATCTTTTGATGAATTTCGATTTGACATCCATATTGTACATATAAAATAAATAAATTATATTTATTTTTATAATAATAATAAAATTATTAAAATTAATTAGAAAATAAAATTATTATCAATTAATATATTTATGTTTAATGTAGTTATATGTTATATGGTAGAAAATTTATTATAATATAACACATATAAGTAGCATAAGTTACATGCATGTGTCATACTAAAATACTAGTGTGTACCCCGTGCGATGCACGGGAACAATATTAAATTAACAATATTATAAATAGATCTCGAGTTTGAGTCACTGACGGAAGTGGAAACTACTATTGATCCTATTTAAACAGAGGAAGAAAAAAAATAATTATAAAGTAAAGAGGAGGATAAACAATACTTAATAATTATAAATTAAAGATTCGGGGTCAAACAATGTAAAACTATTTTGTATAATAAAATATGAAATTTACATTATTTTGTATAAGAGAATATAAAATTTGTATGTTTAATATTAAAAACACCTAAAATATTATATTAGTATATATGTAAAAGTATTCAAAATTTTCTATATTATTTTTGAAAGATGTGAAGTCACCTACAACTTTTCTAAACAATTTTAGAAGGAAAACATATCTAAGTACATTTGAATTTAACATTATGTAAAAAAGATTTTTCTAGACTATTTTGTAAAGAAAACATGTCTACAAATATTTAAATTTAATATGTGTATATGTACATATATATATATATGCGTATGTTCTGTATAGTTTCTTAGAGATAATAATTCAACACGTGTATTTGTTTTAGGAAATGAATAACAAACTTAATATCAGTTTTGAATATTGATGAGGTGTATGAAATATTTCTCACGCAATTTTGTTTTTGAATCTTAAAATTATCCTAAATATCTTTTCCTTGTAATACGATTTTTTCTTCTTCAATTTATCGTTAAAAAAATATGTTTAAAAGGCGTGTGAAATGGGATTATTTCGTTACCATAAAAAATTATGCGATAAGGACGAGTGAATTGGGGTTATTTCATGAGAATTAAATCGGTATAATTAATGAGTTTAAAAGGCGTGTGAAAAGGACATAAATGCTGACTTAATAAGCCGTGTGAAATGGACATAAGAGTTACCATTTTAGAAAGTAATAAATGCAAAACTGACTTTGACCATTAAGTTACTAATTTTGATAAATGTTAATTCTTATTATATAAGTATAGATGTAATAATATATACTCCCTCCTATTTTTTTTATTTGTCACTTTGACTTAATTGATCATTGATAAAATAAATGTCGTTTTAGATATTTTGTTCATATTTATAGTGTCTCTTCATATCCCATCTCTATCGTTTCCCATAGCATCCATTAAATAGAGTTAATATTGTCAAGAAAAATATCTTAATTAGTGTGATGCATTTGAATTGATATTATGAAGTCCGTTTGTATTTTACTATTTATATATATATAATGCAAAACAATAATATATATCCTTATAAATAAAATTTAAATTTATTTATCAAATTAAATTAAATTATATCAAATAAAATTATAAATTATATTATAAAGTAATAGAAATTTGTATGTATTATTTTAAAAATGATATTTATTTCAAATCTAATTGGTATGTTGTCAATATAATAAAAATAAATAATTATTTATATAAATTCTAAAATTTCATATACAGTTAAAAAATTGTGAAGCACGTCTGATACGACATTTGATGTATTAGGCATTTAATTAAGTAAAAAAAAATTGATCTATTTGTTTAATATTAAATAAACATATTCTACACTTATGCATATACATATTGTTGATAAACGGATTCAATCAACGTAATCAATGTAAAATTAACTCAAAGATTGCAAAATATGAGATTTTTATTGAAGATATTGAAGTCGGTTACAGTACTGGGAGGTCGGTTTTTCAATATATACTAAGTCGGTAAGCAATGAAATAAC